GCGAACCTATATTTATTTTATAAAATTATAAAAGTTTAGCACCAAAAAAAATTTTTTTTTTTTTATATTTTTTTTTTTTTTTTTTTTTTTTTTTTTTTTTTTTTTTTTTTTTGGCTTCTCTGTCTATGTCAAAGCAGCGCTATGGCTCATGCCTTCTTAATAGTCCAACATGGTTCACCTGCCCCGAAAAGGCCTATCACCAAAGCCACTTCTATCCAGTAGATCCTGAAGCGTTAAGCTCAAATCGATCTCGCCATGAGGTATGCATCAATGAATAGACACAGAACCATGACCGAAAGTGACTTCGGTGTATGGTCTTTAGCTACCCATACCCTTCTTGTGCTCGAATCTATATCGGATATGTCCCATCAATGCCTCTCTCCGACCCTCCTGCTTGAGATGTCGAATATGAGGAGGAATATCACTGCCTCGATGCATGATGTAGTCTAAATAAACTTCTTCGTCTGCCATGCTGCCATCATAACCCGCTCGCACTCTTGGCCGAAGCTTCCCGTGCGTAGTGGGATCGTCAACTTTGACAATGTATTGATAGTGAGGTGGCATCAAATGCAGTAGGTGTTGTACGATATAGTGCAGTAAGACCGTCTCATCACTTGCCCTCTCATGATCGGCTGCATGGTCGTGGATCGTGACGGTGGCCATCGCCCCAGTCATCTTCGCCCCGGAAGACGAAGCAGCTGAGTCGCCATGACCGGCATCATAGTTTGGCCTCGCTTGGTTCGTGTCGGATTCCTGGGTTGGCGGAGATGGTAGAATGGAGCCAGGACGAACATCAGCAGTTGATGGATCAGCCGGTGTATCGGTGTCCGAAGATGCAGAAGCATTCCACCCCACCGTCGCATCATCACCCCAACCAGGAGTCTCAGACGTGCCCCATGCCTTGGCTAGTTCGTCGGCAGTTGCTCCTGACTGACCAAACATTTGGGTCCGGGAGGTATCCTCATTGAGGATAAAACGTGGCCCTGATCGCTGTAGGCGCACAGCGCTAGCCTTATACTCCTGGATACGCTCTTGCCAGCTCGTGGCTAGAGTCTCTCCCTCGGGGAGCTGGATCTGACTGATGCCGAGCATAGAGTAAAGTCCCTCTATCTCACCCCTCTTCCTATCTCGCTGGCTTCGAACCATCTTCAGATTCTGCCCGTATGTATTGTGCTCAGCCCAATCAAGGACCTTCAGTTGCTCCTGGGCATTAGCAAGCTCCTTCTTATACCGAGGGACCTGTTGATTCTCCAAATGCTGTGCTTGAGCAATTAGGGCCTTTAGCCTCTGCTGAAACTTCGTTCGGCGCCTGTTGAATTGGGCCGTGGTTTCGGCATGTATATCTTGAAGACGCAGAGGTGCCTTTTCGGGCTCTACATACTCGATGCCTTGAATCTCTGCAGCTAGCCGAGCGATACGTTCCGCCACTTGAGCTGCCGCGATTTCAGCCCTGGTCGCGGTCAGATCGACATTCCGAATTCGCTGGGCGAGTTGGCAGCGCAATCTGTTCAGGTTCTAACCGAACAGTCGGTTGCCAGCCAGATACGATGTCAACTGACATCCATGGCAAATTCGCTGATTGGGGTTGCGGCCTGTCATGTCCGCACGATAGAAGAAGGAAGGCAAGTGCTCTCGACATCGACAACATTGTACCAGGATGGGGTTTCCTGTTCTGTCTGTCAGCCCTCGTCGTTTATCTGGCTCAGTTTCCACCAGGCAACGACCCGCGGTCGCTACCATCAGGTCCGTCCACAGCGACTTTATGATCTCATTACAGGCGTCCTGAACTCCTGGCCCTGTGATTCGGCCGCAACGAAAGTCATCAATCCGAGCAATTGCTTGCAGGATACATGGTAAGGTGCCCATTGGAAACGGGCACCGATCAAGAAATGATCGGAAGCCCGAGCCTGGCTGGAACCAATCACCCAACCCATTATCTTGACAGAGCTGGAAGATGTGCACCAAATTGGCAACTATTCCATTGATAGGGTCAATTCGCCCCTCATCTTCCGGTACAATACCAAACTCACGAGGGAACTTTCGTTCCGGAGCGGGATGTTTGGGTCCAGGATAATAACAAGGCGTAAAGTCCAGGCTCAACAGGCCATGGCGTCCGCGTGCATTGGCTCGAGCATAGATGTTGATCAGTTCTTCTGCGTGGCCGTAATTGAGAAGCATGCAGTTATGGATACCAAGGACCTTGAGTCGAGGGCATCCCTCGACGATCATCGTCACTGCGCCTATGTCAAGTAGTGGGCAGGCTATGAGCATGAGATGCTCAATATTAAGGCGGTGAGCGCCCAATGATTTATCTACAGAATATCAGTGCAGCCACTCGACGGAGAGTCCATCGGAAACTTACAGAGTCTCACATGGTTGGCGATTGAGGTCTCAAATGGGACTGAGCTATGGACGCCACCTTCGTGCATCGGGTATCCATACTCGTATCTTCGTCCTTCGATGGACGAAGGTGTCGACTCATACGGCTTCCGAAATGGAGAAACCATGACGATGTTTCCGTGGGCCTTTTTCATATCTTCAAGGCCTTTGAAACTGGTCGCCGCGATGTCCAGTCGGGCCTGTTAAACCGTTAGAAAGTAGCTTCAAATGTGAGAGACGGTCAACCATACCGGAGTGTTGTGTATCACGCGCATCATGAATTGGCATGAGCGCGAGAGGTTATCTAGATCCCCCTTGCGGGGGTATAGAAGGACCATGATCATTTGCGCAATCTCAGCAGTCTTGAATACTTCCGTCATTACCTTAGGCTGTGTAGCCTCTGGAAGAGTGGGCTCCCCACTCATGCTGTAAACGCTCTGTCAAGAAGGTCAGCTTTGTTATCTCCATTGCGGTTCCCATAACCTACATTGAATAGTCCATCCGGTATGGCCGGGTAGTTGATCATGTCCAGGAGACGAATACATTGCTCGTCCGGTTGTCTAGCTCCGGCATGGGCACATGGATGGTTCTGTGCCATGGGTTGTGGATGTACAAGGGAGTTGAACTTGTGAAGTTCATACTCTTTAGACATGGTGCGTAGTAACTCCTTGTGAGCCCATG